CACAGATAATAAAAAAAATGCTACCAGAACATGCTACTATAGAAATAAAACAGTATCAACTTTTAAGAGTTAGGACAGAAAACATCATACTGGAAACATACAGCAAAATGCAACACATGGTTGAACAAAGAATTGTATTTAAATCACAAAAAAGGCTTGGAACTACTAATCAATGATGCTTCAGTTAAGACTTTTCTAAAATAAACACTTATTTCCATAAAGTGAAGCAGCAGAGAACTCAACTTGGATTTTTTTTTTTAACCCATAGCTACATTATTCCTAAGAAGTCTGGCTATCCATTAATAAAATCTTTATTCTTACACTGAATCATAGCAAGATATAAATCATTTATTGTTTCCATTTATTGTATTTTAACATAACTATTTATATTAAGAAAATAACTAAAAATACATTGAAAGTAAAAAAAACTTGCTACATTCCAGGGGCATTGCAAGCAGCAGGTTTTCATTACAGTCAGATAATGAATCCTAGCCTAATTATCTGCAGAAGTCTGAGGCGTTGTTCCACTGCTGCCCCCAAAACTCTCACTGAAATATATTAATGCATTACTTGGAAGGGGGTTTCAAAAACAAGTAAGACAGATTTCAAGTGATATATTTTGGAAATTCCTAAGCATCTACATTTATTCCTGAATCTATTTGTGTAAATTACTAAGAAGTTGTTCTCCATACCTGTTCCCATTGATTTTACTTACATAATAAAGTCTGTATCACTGGAAGTTATTTCTTCAAATGAGTAACAGAAAATATTGACTTGAGATATTTTCTGCCATGTACTTCTTAGTTTCAGTTTGTATGAGCACAGAAACTACACATAAAATACTCATTAAGTACAGAGAGATGAAATATCTATTTCAAACACCATCAGCTTCTGATAGAATGTATACATTAAACAGCAGCTTTCAGCTTTCTCACTATACATGCCATTAGCATATTGAAGATGAGAGGTTTTTCCCTTCCCCAAGGTTCAAGTAAATTCCTATATTGTATTAATCTAGTACGAAGAATCTTTAATTGCATTGCATCCTTTTATAACTTGAAAAGAAAACACAAAAAAAAAAGGTAGATGGGTTAAGTAGTGGCTTGCTTGCTAATGGATTAACACTATTTTAGGATAAGATTGCAAACTTTATAAAAGGCCATCCTCTCGAGCATACCTGCTTTTCTAGCAGATGTGGAGAAGCTCAGATGCACATCTTCATATAAAATTGGAATAAGGTAAAAAAACAGATGAGAAGCTCATCTGAC